GTTTGGATGGTTAGATCAGCTCTTCTTATCAGCCTGCCAGACCTTGCTTCGTGACCAGTGCCTTTGCTCTCTGTTTTGTGGTGGCGTAAGCTTTGGTCTTAACCTTAGGAAGCACTCGCAAGAGGCTTGCATGGGACACTGTAGTTCTTCCTCCAAATCCTCCCCCATTCACTGCCCTGCTCTGTTGCCCTTTCCCCCGCCAATGAGTCATCATCACTGACTGCTCTGCTTCTTCTGGAACTGGGCCGATGTGGGTCAGTGGGACTTGTCCTCTGTGGTGGGAATTCCCATTTTGCTGGTTGTGAGGAGTTGCAGCAAATGCTATCAGTAGCACTGAGCTTGAGGCAAGGTGTCTGTGAGACAACATGTCACCAGCAGTGTCTATTTGGTGTCTGTCAGGCAATGCGTCTGTTAAAGTGTGTCTGTCAGATGAGGTGTCTGTCAGGAGAAGGGCCTGCCGTGCAGTACATCCATCATGAGAGGTACATGTCAGCAGTGTGTCTATCAGGCAAGATATGTCTCGGGCAGTAGTCTGTCAGGTAGTGACCGTCAGCAAGATGTATGTCAGACAGAGTGCTCATCAGGTAAAGGGACTGTCAGGCATCATGTCTGCCAGCATGTCTGTCTGTCAGTGCATTCGCCAGGTTGTGTGTCTGTCAGTTCCCTTGGGCTGTCACAATGACATACCCAATACTGGGAGGTTCTAAAGAACAAAAGTTTTCCCACAGTTCCAGAAGCTAGAAGTCTGAAGTCATAGTTCCTGGGCCGGGCTCTGACCAGTGTGCTTGGGGATACTTCTCCTGATCTCCTGTGGCCTTGGTGTTCCTGGCAGCCTTTGGTGACACACAGCCTGGACATACTCCACTCCAGGATCCTCCTACTCTATCCCAGGTGTCCCTGTCACCATCAGCTAGCTGGGTCCTTCAGCTGAACACAGATGGAAATTGTGAAGTCTAGGAGCAGCTTGGCTAGTGTTGTCAGACCTGGACCCTTGAGTGCCGAAGGCTTGTGGGCTCAAGACTACAGACTCAGGCTTATATTTCCAGGTCCTGAGAACCAGAAATTCATGGCTCTAGCCTATAGGGCCAGAGACTTATAGCTCTGGACACTCAGGTTGGAGTCTTACTGCTCTGGGCTTTGGTTGGCGATGGCCTGGTGCTGGTCCAGATAATATTTGGTTCTTGGCAGCTGCAGGAGCAACAGTCAGCACTGGTTAGTGTGACAGCTCTCAAACCTTGTACATCATGATCCATGGCCCCTCGTAGTTCAGGGTCACAGTACTTAAGCATGGATGTTGGACCTCTTGGTCTTTAGACCTGGCAGCTCCCTAGAACCCTTTCAAGGACTGGGGCTCCTTTGTCATTGACTCCACTTACCCATCCTCTGCCATCTCTTCCAGCTCTGGCTGTGTAGGCTGTGCCTCTGGCCACTTTCCGGAACTCTCAGGCCTTGGTCTTGTTACCACCTCCCCTCCGGAGAGCTCTGCCCCTGATCTGGGGTCTCTTCTTTGCATTCAGTGTAAGCTGCTCTGCCTGTGACAAAATCAAAAGTAAGCGCACAAAACCATTTGGAAGAAGCCTCACATTGGGTTTAATGTTTTCAGTGCCAGGCATAGCTTAGGAAAATGTCTTCCAGTTGACTTGAAAGGTGAGCCTGGATTTTTAATCATGATATCTGAACCAGTCAAGGTACAGCCCGTCACGCAAATGAAGGCTTGCATTGTGCCAATCACAGGCCTTCTGCTGGGCTACCTGGGAATGCGCTTTCCTCTGGGCCGGATGAATGTAAGTACAGGGTCGCCTAGAGTTCACAGGGCAGGCTTTCTGGAGTCATCATGCCTGGAGCATGTCTTCTATCACTGCGGTATTGTTCCTCAGAATGATGGCAAAGTATACAAAGTTGCCAACCTGCTAGAAGTAAGGTATACCTTGGCTGATGGTTCTCTGCTCAGAGCCACCAGGAATAAGGGATCAGCAAGTCCTGAGTTTTAGCCGCTCACAGACAGCATTGGAAGTGTGTTTCCAATAGGGACCCAATGGAAGCTCAGTAGAAAGAACTGAGGACTCGGGAGCACTCCACAGTACTTCATGGTATTGACTGCTGCCCACGTGTGCCACAGACAGGCAGGCCCCTCTGTACGATTCTGAACGTTCCCTCTTCTAATGGGAGCATCAGCAGTTGGTGAGAGCTGACCTTCTTCAGTCTGACCTCATCTTAACGTCCTTCCATGTGCAAAGATCCTGACCCCAGCAAGTTTACATCCACATACTACAGTGGACGAGGCCTCGGAGGACCGTGTCCGGCCCTTGCCCTGTAACATTCTTCCTGAAACAGGTCTGTTCGCACTCTACATTTCACGGAAGTCTCCACGGGCTTGGAGGATCCCAGCTGTTCCACGTCTTCTCTGTCTGCTTTGCCATCACATCCCTTTTGTTCTCTGTCTGAGGACACTGAGAAGTAAGCTGGCTAGTAGAGTCCTCTCTACGCTATGGTGAAGCCATGGGGTCAACATTACGAGCTCTGTGACTTCTTGCCTGGGAAATGTTCCCACGGCTATGGATGGACTCAGTCTGTGCTCTCAGCAGCCACTGGCCTAGGAGCTTATTTTAGCACCCCTTCTCCCATAGCCATGCCCCTGCCTGGACTGTTTCTGGCCTCTCCAATGTTCTAGCCATACACCATGCACTGGGTCATTCCTCCCATGAACCTTCTTTATTGTCTCCATGGGGAATTTCAAAGGTGAAATCTCTCAGGACCTCAGTAGCAGCCTGACACCCTGCAGATCTAGTGTGCTGTAGAGTGGGAATGCCCTCCCTTCACCACATCCCCTCTGTTCTACCCTGCTAGCTCTGCCACAGGGGGCATCAACCTGTGCACAGTAGGTCTGCAGTTAGGCACTGAAACTTCTTCAGGGAGCCTGGAAACATTTGTCTTTGGACTCTGAGTCCTTAGAACTCATCATGTTGACTGATTTTTGACTTTCATTTTCTTGAGCTATGAGAAAAATCACTTCTACTCTTTTAGCTACGAAGCCTATGCTATTTTGCTGTGTGGTGTAAGTTAAAAGTCCAAATATAAATTTGAGTCTAGATATTTTAATTCAAATGACAACTTTGTCTTTGATTAGAAGACCGAAGCAACACGTCTTCCTTTAAAGAAGACACATGTACTATTTGAGGCTAGTCTCTTCTCTTTATAAATCAGAAGCTGATATTTCTTTTAAAAAATATATTATATTTTGGGGCTGGAGAGAGGGCTCAGCAATTAAGAACACTTACTATTCTTCCAGAGGACTCACAAAAACCATCCATAACTCCAGTTCCAGGAGATCCGACACCCTCTTCTGGCTCCTGTGGGCACTGCGTGCGTGTAGTGCACTCATATACATGTAGGCAAGACACTCATATACATAAAATAAAAATAATAAATAAAATAGTTTTTAAAATTTATGGTCTTATTTATTTTTAAATTTTATTGGTTATATTTTATTTTATGTGTATGAGTGTATTACAATGCCTGTGGAGGTCAGAAGAGGACATCAAATCACCTGGAACTGGAGTTACAGATGGTTGTTAGCTGCCATGTGGGTGCTAAGAATCAACCTGGATCCTCTGAACGTGGAGGTCAGAGGAAAACTTGTGTGAGTTGGTTTCCTTTCATCGTGAAGATCCTGAGGATTGAATTCAGGCTTGGCAGTAAGTGCCTTTACCCCAGAGCCATGTTGTTGGCCCAGAAACTGGTATTTCTTAGGGAGTGGTAAAGAACAGTTGTCGTAAGAAGAAATGGGCTTTTTAAACTGCAGCCTTTCCTCCTCCTCTCACTCTCCTCTAACTGCTTCTCCAACCCCAATAAAGACGGGAATTGGAGATTAATAAAATTTCTGCCTGGGGTAGTGTCTGCTGCTTCTCTGCTTTCAGTCTAAGAGGGTCCAGCTCAGTGAGTGCCAGGACCCTTAGTGAAGTCTCCCACTGAGAAGGGAAGGCCGCTAAGCCCTTTCTCCATACTCTTTCTTTTTAACATTCCTCAATTAAAGCTTGCCTTGTTTGCCACCATGGGTCAGTCCAGATAAACATCCAGATAATCTGAGTGAAGTGTGCAAAGGACAAAGCCTGAGCAGGGGTTCTGCAGGATGCCACATCGTCCATCCATCCTGGGCCCTGGTTACAACAATTCCATCCCCTCCCCACACCCCCGTTCTTCTCTCTTTCTAATGAGTACCTGCTCTGGGTGCTGACCTTCCTCTTCCCCATGTCCCTCCTTCTCTCCCCCTTCTCTTTATCCTTCTCTCCCTGTCATCTACCATCCACCTTGGGTGCTGACCTCCCCCCGCCCATCTCCTCTAGTCCGGTTGGTGTGAACTGTGTGGGGGGCAGCTGGCTGGTACCCCTACTTCCACGGAACCCCTGACCTCCTCCTACCTTCTTTCTGAGAGGACCGTTTCTGATTGCAGGTTTCCCACCTTTGGGAAACTGTTCCAAGAAGACTTGGCTGGGGATTGGGCTGCCGGCAGGGAGATTTGGTTGCACAGGGTTCTAAGGTCCTGACTGAACAGATGGAGTGAGTTTGGAGGAAAAGCTGTTCTCCCCAGAGGCAGCACTGCTTCCCAGTGTTCCAAGAGCCTGATAACATGGGTGGGTGCTCTTTGACAGGAAACTTGTTCTTCTTATGACAAAATCAATTCTCTGAATAAGCTAGCTTCCCCAGCACAAACCCACTGTCTCTCTCTTGTCCTTCTGGTTGTGTTCACTTGGTTTAGAAGGGCCAGTATCATACTGGGTAATTTGAAACATATTTAAAGCACAGAACTGGCATTTCTTTCTCCTCAGCAACATGGGGAGTCTCAGCCAATCTTGCTGGTTTTATTTATAGCATTTTATTTCCTGAGAGAAGACAGGAAAAGTGAGTCCCTGCCTGCCCCTCTTGTCTGGCTCCTCCCCTGCCGGCCCCTGTCTGGCAGGCCCCGGGTGGACATGGAGGAGGGGCGGTGTCAGCTCAGAGGGGCCGGACTTGGACTGAGACCCCAGGTACTCAGAGCAAATGGTGAGACCAGGGGGAGGAATTATGACACTCCTTCGAAAGAATGAATTAAACGTGCCTCGGCGTGAGTCTGATTGACAGGGCACTTGGGGAACAGGCTTATAAAGGATCTGGCTGCTGCCTGGAGACAGCCAGTGTATCCACTGTCCCCAACCAGGTCCCTTCTCTCCAGCGGCACCTCATCCCCTCTGAACAGAATCGGAACACTGAAATCGATCATCATCCACTTTCAAACACACCAGGTACCTTTTAATTTCTAAGACGTTTCATCGGGCTGTGAGTTTTCCAGAAAAGGCTGGAGGCTTCCAGGGAGGCTACACAGAGGAAGTGCAGCTGCACCTTCTGGAACTTAGTGTGGCTCCCTCACCCTATGTTTGCCCTGTGCAGTTGGAGACCCGTCAGGAGCAGTCACTGCAGGGTTGGTTCTGGGTCCTCTCCTGCCTCCTGTGGCAAATTCCCAGGGAGGCAGGAGTCTGACTGTCTTCATTGCTGGGAAGCCAGGCAAACACTGACATACTCAGTTTCAGAATAAGAAGTTTCCACGCTGAAGTTTGTTTGTTGTGTAGGAGAAACAAGAGAAAGGGATTTCAAAGGACCCCCAGAAAATATGAAAACAATCAAAGGGATTATAGAGTCCTTGACTCCAAACATTATTAACTGAACAAGTACTAGATGTCATTATAACTTAAAGTAGGTGTGGGGGTGGGGCACTGAGGGAGTGCATTTGTGAGTATTGATTTGAGATAATTTGCATATGAAAAGAGCTGGCATCCTGGGGCAGGTAAATGGAAGTGGTCTGTTGGTCAATAGGGGGGAAGGAGGGGGTGAAGGGGACATGGAGACCACCTGGCAATGTCATTTTCACTTTGTTCATGTAAGATAAATTGTATAAGACCTTCCTAAGTTGTGATGACACTCTGTTGTGGAAAGGCCTCTTTGGGGGCATCTACTCCTACACCTGCAGTGTGGGCTTCCAGCAGAGAAATGACTCAGGCTCAGGGGAGCAGTGCACTTGCATGTAGAGCTAGGATGCAATTGCATGCTGCCAGGAGGCTTGTTTGGGACCAGACACGCTTCATGTTCCTTTCCGTTGCAGCAGCGCAACAGGTTAGGTAGGATCTCATTTAACAAACAGTTGATTTTACCAAAGCGCAGTATAATATACTTCGGTTGTGCATGAGAACTGAGTGCCCCGAGCTGTAAAATGTCATTTGGGGATGGGGCTTGCCTTTGTAGAACCAGCATTGCTGGTCCTTAGGATGAGGGGAGCTGTGGGGCTAGGGGTTCAGGGGCAGGTGTCCTGAGGCACACACTTGGTCAGGGGTGGGACAGTCAGGAGCCTTCAGAGGTGAACTCAGTGCTGTTCATTCTTGAACCTCTTGGTGGTCTCACTGTGCTTAAGTACTGTTCTGAGGTTCTGAATACCTAGAAACGGTTCACCGTGCACTCGAGTCCTCCTAAAATGCCACTTCAAGGCATAACAGAAGGAGCTCAGAGCCTGCCTGTTTGCTGTGCGCAAAAGTACCTGATGGAGGCTCACTTGCATGAGGCCTTTCCAATACCCCAGACAGACGGATATTTAAAGGAAAATATTTTCTTTCGAACAACAGATACGGAAACTGAGCCAGAGGGTAAATAGGTTGCCTGAGTGACAGAACTGGTATTGAGGGCTCAGGTGGGATGGTACAGTTGGCTGCCTCTGCACCTAGCACTCAGTGAACAAAGGGATCAGGACTATATTTTAGGAGACTAGGGATCATGCCCCATCACCTTCTTCTGGGGAAGGATTCCCCCTCCCCCGGGAGGGTCACTGTTTCCAGAAAAGAGTTCTAGGGAGGGGAATTGCTTAGATGGCTTTGTCAGTGAGAAGCTAAGCTGCTTTGGTCATCTAACAGGAGTGAGGGATGACATTGTAAGGGTTAGTTTCCACAGAGCAGAGCATGACATGGGACAGAAACTGGGCCATTGCCCCTGACTCCCTGTGGATGAGGATCTGAGACCCAGGGCACAGGGAGACCCACAAGGAGTTAATGGAGGCGCTGGGCTCCAGGCCAGACCTCCCGACTTCTGGTCCAGTTCACAGAGCCAACTTAGAATCCCTGAGAATGGAAAACAGGCCTGCAGGAGAGCAGAAAAGAAGAGTAAATTCTTGCTAAGTAAAATATGTTTTTCCAAAGAACGATGCACTGAGTTAGATTTATTCCTAACTTTGAAATGCAGTTAGTATTGGTTCTATTTAATTAAGTTATGCATAAATGGTTTTTCCTGGACCTTTACACAGAATGCCTTTCCAGAGTCTTCTCACCTATCAGGATGTTTGACTAGGCCCGGGCTTCCTGGATGTAGGTCTTGGCAACTCATCTTGTGGTAAAATCCTTCAGGGAAACAGTGCCCTGGCCCACTCTCCACTTGCTCTTCTGCAGAGTCCACGGTCATGGTCAGAGAGACCCTGAGCTGTGACAGGGATGGCATAAGGAGTGCTTAGAACCCCCTCACCATGACAGCAGAAAGAGGGAGCTGGAGAAATGCTAGCAGAGTTAGAAGAGCCCCATCTGACAGGAAGGTTCTTTTCTACAGCCTTGCTGCCCACAAGTCCATTTGCTTCTGATGTTTGTATGAAAACTGTTTTTTGAAGGTCACGTGAGTGCACATTCCAGTGACACTCAGGCTGCAGCTGGGCACTCATCACCCACCAGGCGGCTGGCTTTCTCCTAGGAGTCGCCAGTGGAGGCAGGATGCTCTGGGCACTGGCCTTGCTCGCTCTGGGCGTGGGACCGAGAGCTCACGGTAGGTGCAGATGGACCCTCCGTCTATGTTTGCTATGGTGTTACCATCAAGGAGCTGTGGTTGCGTCCAACCCATGAAACTTTCTTAACATGCTTGAAAATAAAATATCCATTAACTTTTGTATCTGAGTAGCCTGGAGTGACTGCTTTTGGAAACTTTAGGAATTAGAGACCAGTGCAGGGCACCGAGAGATGAGGCATCTTGGTGTATATAATTCGGCCTTGTGCACACACTATGTCCACAACACTTCCAGGACTTTATGGTTTATCTCTTCCCTTCTTCCCACTTCCTGATCAAGATATTTATTTTAAATCATTTCTTTTTCAAGCCTAATTTTATTTATTTCCATTATGAAGAAGGTTACCATGAACTTTAGAATACAAGTTTACTATGTAGATGCATGCTTTCTTCTCTCGGTAAATACCTACAATTTGAATTACTAACCTGTATCTAACAAAAAATTTTGGCCTTATTTATTTTTATGTTATGTATATGAGTGTATTGCCTGCATGCATGTAAGTGCACCTGTGTCATACAATGCCCATGGAGGGCCGAAGAGGGCATCAGATTCCCTGAAACTAGAGTTATGGCTGGTTATGAACCACCATGTGGGTGTTGGGAACCCAACCTGCGTCCTCTGCAAGAGCAGTCAGTGCTCTTAGACCCTGAGCCATCTCTCCAGCCCCTCTAGCCTAATTTTAATGGCTTTGTATTCATCACAGATCAATAGTAATATTTTAGATGATTTTTTTCTCTAGATTATTTTTACTAGTGTGCATAATGACATGAGAGAGATTTTAGTGAATCAACTTTTACTACTGTTTGTGACTGTATTCCTTGAATACTTTCTAAAACTTGGACTGCTATTTTTAGTAGTAATAGTCACAGATCTTAATTATTTTAATTATATAGTATTGCCAATATCTCTACAAACAGTAATAAAATTTGCACCTCTATCAGTAACAGAGTGTGCTGCTTTAAATGCCAAGCAGTAAATGAAAAGTTATACTTTGTTGTAATTAAAAAAATATTATTCATTATTTTTAAATTTTTTTATGTTTATGTGTGTATTGCCTACATGTAGGTAAGTGCACCCATATCGTGCAATGCCCGCAGAGGACAGAAGAGGCCGTCGGATCCCCTGGAACTGGAGTTACAGACAGTTGTTAGCTGTCATGTGGGTGCTGGGATTCGAACCCAGGTCTTCTGCAAGAACAACCAGTGTCTTAACCACTGAGCCATCTCTCCAGCCCCACTTTGTTGTAATTTTCTATTCAGTGTGCTATATTTTGAGTTATTTAACCTACTTTAGTTTTGAGATCTGCTGATTTTCTCCTCAGCAGTTGGATGGTGATATCAAACCACTCTTAGACACAAAACTTATCAGTGTCTCAGACCCTAACCCATGTCATTATTCACAGAATGCTTTTCTGTAGAAATCAGAAGATATCACAACATTTGTTTTAGGCAGAAGATCACCCCCAAAGAAAACAACACAGAATTTAGTGGATTCTGAAACCCCGTGTGCAGCAAGGCCAAAGATATACCTTTTAATCTACCCCTCCATCACATGGTAGAGGGCACACTGGCTCAACCCAGATCTGGGCTGGAAGAACACACTGAGCAGAGGTGGGGACTCAGGCCTGGTCTGCACTGACATAGGGGTCTGGTCCCAGAGAGTGGACCTACACAGAGATTCCTTCATAGAGGAAGCCATGTTCTGGGAAGTTAGGCACTAATGTGTGCTTAATGACACTCGCTGGACCCCAGCCCTAGAGAAAGCCAGCCTACAGCTATGTGGGGAGCCAGGATGGCTTAGCCAGCGTGGGGAGTGAGGCTCAGGTAGGGTAGCTCTGCATCTTATCAAAGTCGGGGAGGAGCAGCAGAATGGGGTGGCCTCATGAGTTTGTGGCTTACCAGCCTGAATCCTGGAAAATTCCATCATCTTCCCATCAGTGACTGTGACCCTGTGGTTCCCTTTCGCAGCTGGTGACCAGGGCGAAGACAGTTCCTTTGACCTTTTCAGCATTAGCAACATCAACCGGAAGACCATCGGTGCCAAGCAGTTCCGAGGGCCTGACCCCGGGGTGCCTGCTTATCGTTTTGTCCGCTTTGACTACATCCCCCCAGTGAATACAGAGGACCTCATCAGGATTGTCAGGGCTGTGAGGCAAAATGAAGGCTTCTTCCTCATGGCCCAGGTGAAGCAGGACCGCAAATCCCGGGGTACACTGCTGGCACTGGAAGGCCCCGGTGCTTCCCACAGGCAGTTTGAGATTGTGTCCAATGGCCCAGGGGATACCCTGGACCTCAACTTTTGGGTGGAAGGTTCCTTACATAGCAACTCCCTGGAGGAGGTGGGCGTGGCTGATTCCCAGTGGAAGAACATCACCGTGCAGGTGGCCAGAGATACCTACAGCCTGTACATTGGCTGCGACCTAATCGACAGCGTTGCCCTGGATGAACCCTTCTACGAACAGTTGGAGGCCGACAGGAGCAGGATGTACGTGGCTAAAGGTGCAGCCCGGGAGAGTCACTTCAGGGTGCGTATGCTGTGGCAGCCATGATGAGGGACAGAACTTTGCAGGGAGTTCATAGCCTGGGGCAACTCAGTGAGGCTTCAGGTGCAATCTTGTCTTGGAGAAGAATATGTACGGTACAGTCACTGACACATGCGAACACATTCAACACAATTGCACGTACCATATACACATTCATGCACACCAAACATGCACTTGTGCAATGCATATACTTAAGCAATACATTTATGCATATTCACTTGTGTACACGCATCAAACACGTTCATGCACACCCCAAAGAAACATGCACACCACATGCAGATACATACCTGTTCATACATACCTTATATGAAGACCACACATGTACACATGTGAAGTGCATGTATTTACATAGTGTGTATGCATACCACACATTGACATTCGTTCAAGTGTGTGCATGTACCATGCAAAATGTGCATGCTATACCCTCACACCCTTGAATATACATAAACTTGCTCACGTGAGTACATTCAACACACACTTGCACTCATGAACACAGTACTGACACACAGAATCACATGTGCATACACATGAGACATGTAAGCACTTGTGTGCACACACACTCATATACTCACAATACACAATCAACTCTGCATGCACTAATAGCACACAAATTCCTAAGCTGTGAGAAGCAGAGTGGTGTCACAGGTGCCCATGTCAGTGGCTGGTGCCCAGGGTGGGAACAAGACCCTTCCCATGTTCCCCGCAGCCCTGATGCACTTCATTAGGTCTGAAGCCACACTCTAGCTCTTGCCCTGGGAATGAAGAGGAACTGCGTTCCCCAGGAGGAGCTGTTGCATTAGGAGTGCTCAACACCTCCCCACTGTAGCCAAAGAAGTTTAAGATTCTCCTAAAACTGGGAATTTAGAACCTGCAGTGGCAGGTGCCCCCAGTTACAATAGCTTACCTGGGTTCTTCCTCCTTACCAAGGTGTGAAGACAGTTCACTCAGTGGAATTACCCTGAGAGTCTGTATTTCCATCCTGTGTGGGCTAATGATATATGCTCTTATCCTCTTTCAAGATACTGAGCACACAGTGGCTTCCTGTCAGCCAGTAACCACTGGGAGCAGCGGACAGAACCCCAGATGACATGTGCTAAATGGACCTTCAGCTTGCGATGTTTCTAACTGCTGATGAGTGTCCATTAGTTACTCACTATAGGTCGAGGAAGGTCTGAGCATTGCTGTCTTGCACACATGCACTTGTTCTTGGAAATAAACGTATATCAAAGGTCAGTTCTTCAAGTAAAAGGCCTACAGGATGCAGATGGCCTTTGTCAGGGTGCTCCCATGGCTGTCTGACTGGTCCATTCCCACTGCATCATTGGCGTACTTCTCCTGGTGTGACCTGAGGCTGCCTCAGGCTAGACCAGTAGACATTTCTGAGCCCTGAGTCACAAGGAAACAGCTCAGCATGTTGACCCAGCATTGTCCAGAGGGCAAAATTTTCCCACCCCGGATCCCTCGTTCTTCTCCACAGTGGATTTTTCTCTGCTTAGAAAAGTTTTTCATGCCGAGCTTCCATCTTTGTGTTGTATAAGAATGAAGTTTTCAAAGTAACAGGAAAGATAAACGTTTTAAGGAGACTTTGAACCTGCAGGCTATAAATCCGAGATTACACTGTTTCAGTGAAAGGTTCTACCTTGTGCTTGTAAAGTGTCATCCAGTTACCATCAAGTCCTTAGTTTATCTGTGTCTCTGTTCATCTGTCTCTCCCCAGGGCTTGATGCAAAATGTCCACCTCATGTTTGCAGATTCTGTGGAGGATATTCTAAGCAAGAAAGGCTGTCAGCAAGGCCAGGGAGGTAGGTGAGCTCTGAGCCAGGCATTTCTCCTTCTGTCCTGGTGGATTGCTGCTGGGCCATGTGTGTGCGCCCTGCGGGGATTTAGGTAAAGATGTTTGGGTCAAGTGCTGTTATCGTCTGTGGGTGAGTTTTCCTGTCAACTTAGACATGATGACATCTGAAAATGATAAATTATCAAGGATCAATTTTGAATGTATTTTAAGAACAGCAATTATTCTATTTTACAGGGGCTGGAGGGATGGCCTAGCCCGTAAAGTGCTTGCTGAGCAAACACGACACTGGAGTTCAATCTCCAGCACCCACATAAGCTAAGCATGGTGGTGCACACGTGTAACGCCAGCGTTGTAGAGGCTGAGATGGGCAGATCCAGAGATTCCGTCCCCTACCAGCCGGACTAGCCTAATTGGCGAGCCTCAGATCCCAGGGAGAGACTGTCTCAAAAAACAAAGTGGACAGTTCCCAAAGCACTACATCCAAGGTTGACCTCTGACCCACACAGATGCATGTGCACACGCACACATGCACATGACTTTGCCAGTGCAAATGTATGAGGGTGGGAACACGATAACTGAATAGAACTGAGACTTGATTGTAGAAACTTCTCTGTGCTCCTGGAGTCCATTTGGCCACATTAAGAACACTGATGCTGCATTGACCAAGGCAGGTGTGCTGACAGCCACACCCCCTCCCTCTGCAGTCAGCTAAACACAGGAGGCAGGTCATGCGAGAGTTCACTAATGCACACACAGGTGCTGTTCTTAAGAGCAGAGAGTGGCCCTTTCAAAGTCCCCAATCATAGTGACCCCTGAGCCATGACTCTGCGGAGGTTGGGTTGGAACTAGACATCAATGCTACACTGGGCCTGTTGCCATGGGAATTGGTGGCTAAGATTATTATCTGCGACAAAGATAATTCACACCTTTCAGAAGTTCTGAACACATCCTAATATGTAGGTTTCTTCAACAGGAAAGTTTAGGCTCAAAGTTACAAGTAAATAATACCTAGAAATATTAAAAGAAAACATTTAAATTTTTCTGCAAGTTTTTTGAGCACTTTTTAACACAATAGATACATGCAAAGATTTGAATCTGTCCTTCCAGAGTGAAGAGTAAGAGTTGGGATTACTGTAGTCATGGACCACTGTGAGTGTCTCCACACAAAGCCCAGGCCCAGAAGACCTTGTCCAGCAGAAAATTCAGTCCTCTACTGGTCATATCAGATTTGAAATATCTAGTGTTCAGAGAGCTGGCTCACAAGTTGGTGCCTGGTCGCACAGCCTCTTTGCTGTTTGTTTGTTGAAATGAGAACATCTCTGTTCTAAATTGCCAAGTAGTCGCAATTTCCCAACTGAAGATGCTGGTGTAGATGTGGGAGGTTCAGACTGCCTAGAACATCCGTCTGTCACCAACTCAAATGCATTCATGGCAGAGGCAGACATAAACAAATGCATAGGTTTTTTAAAATTTAACTATAACGATATGAAAAGTAAATATTTTAGATAAGTTAAAGATTTTAAAAACATAAATGAAAGTTAAATGCTGGGTAAAATCCACTCCGTACCTATTTACAAGTGTCTGTCTACTTAGTTATGAGCATATGTACATTTGCTTGGCTTTTTATGGGCAGTGGCACACGGAATGAATCTAAGGGGCTTCCAGGCACCATGTGGATTGCAGCGAGGCTTTGAACTCAAGAAGTGAGTGGTCATAGTAGAATGCCTGAAAGACTCGTAGCATGCATGTGATAACTAAAAATGTGGGAAGTCTGAAAGGGACGAGGCCTTGTGAACGCAGGACAGTCCTGCCAAGGGAGGCTGTGGCCTGGATGTGAGGACATAAGACTTTCTAGCCTGTAGTCCCTTCCTCCCTAGAACTCTTCTTTCCCTGAATCCTCACCCCCGGAGTGCTTCCTTCCTGGAACCTCCCTTTCCTGGAAACTTCCTTCCCTGAAAACCTTTCTTCTATGGAGTCTTTCTTTCCCTGGAGCCCTTCTATCCCTGGATCTCTTCCTTTTCAAGAGCCCTTGGTTCTGGCTTGACTGAAGATGACTGTGTTTCTGGGCTTGTCTCAAAGCAATTTGAGAATTAAGGAATCACATGGCCCAGGCAGAGGCCTTGTGATTGGCAGGGACTATTAGAGTATCTGTCTTTGTTATGAGGAGCCACTGGGCAGTGGAGCATGATGAACAGAGGGACACGTGTTTCTGTCATGAAGAAACACAAATTCACCTTTGTTCTGAAAGAGGAGTGCCTGCAAAGGCATTCAGGATAAAATGGGCTATAGGAAGGGGTGGAGAGGAGGGATCGGCACCTGGGGTATGTGGCAGAAGAACAGATTTGGCCTAGGAGGAGGACACAAGGCACTGTCCCCAACTCTGATTGAGGTATGTGACGTGTGGCCCTACAATACAAATGGCTTTTCTCCTGTTACTCTTCTCTGCCTTTCTCTAATCCCAGGCTGGACCTCTGCCTGCCAGGGGACTGTGTGTGCTAAGTAGGTGTGTGAGATGAGTCTTCTTGGCACGCATGGGTCTTAAGTGGAAGAAGCTGCCACAAATGTGTTGGATAAAATTTAGCATGCGGCCACTCAGAGAAGGCGTGACGTGTCACAGGCACCAGCTTAGAGTTGTGGATATCTCAGGGGTTGTGCTCCACTGACCGTGCTCTCTTCCCCTTAGCGGAGGCCAACGCCATCAGTGAACACACGGAGACACTCCACCTGAGCCCTCACATTACCACAGACCTGGCGGGCCAGGGTGTGGAGAGGACACAGGAGGTGTGCACGCACTCCTGTGAGGAGCTGAGCAACATGATGAACGAGCTGTCTGGGCTGCACGTCATGGTGAACAAGCTCAGCCAGAACCTGGAGAGAGTGGTGGGTACTGGTGGAAAGCACAGGTAGCCGGTGAGGGCTGTGGTCATGAATAGCAGGCTGGGCAGGGAGGCCTCGGGTGTCAGCCCTTCTACCAGCCAGCTGGCCGGGCCTCTGATAACTTAGAGTTCACTGCTTTAGAAAGCCACTGTTAAGGGGATGCTGAGGTCGGGCCCTTCAGGAAACCTGGTTTGATGCAAAAGCTAATGAGAGGAAAAGTTGGAAAGACATGGGGAAGTGTCACAGATCAAAACAGACATGGCTACACCTTCTCTAACATATATTTGCAATTCTGGAAATTCATCTCCCCAGAGAATAAAACACATCCATGCAGAGGAACATACTTTATGTGAAGGGCTGTGTCGGGAGTCGTCGGCAGGTGGGAGGACTGTCTTTGCTTTATAGTGTTGTAAGGCTGATAAACTTGAATCTGTGAATCTCAAAGTGTGGCTCAGAACAGGCAGCTGAGCGCCATGAGCTCTCCTGGCCACACGGCCGTGCACTGTTCACAGTCATGGGAAGCACGAACGGGGTAACTCTCACTGTCTCTCCACTCACACACTTCCTGTAGTGCCCCGTCTAAGGCTGGGGGAGTCTCACACCCAAACCTGTGTGTAGTGCTCTTCAAGGCTGTCTTTAGGACCGAAACCTTTTCCTGCTGTGGTTTGCCTGTCAGTGCAGTGGTATCACTTAATTCCTCGCTGTACCAGGAGGTGCTGAGGCTCAGTGAACCCTGATGGCCCAGCTGGCTCACCAGCTGAGCTGGGAGGAGAGTCCAGAAAAGAGCTTCTGTCCAACTGAAGTGCCTCCCAGGTCCAGGTTATGTAATGGAAAGTCAGTGATGGAGGAAATGTGTGAGCACCTTAAAACTGCAGAAAGCTACAAGGGTAATGTGCTTCTGTGCTTTTATACTAGGGGGTTTGTCTCACTCCTCAGACCCCCAAGGCTTGATACCTCAATTCAGACACTGTTCCTCAGGAAAAACTCACACAGAGTACTGAGAAGCCCAAGGCAAGCTCACATGCTTAGGGCACATGGTGCAGGTTTGTCTGTTCTTTTTATACTTCACATCTCTTTCTCTGGTGTAGCCATTGAGATGCCAGAACTGTGGCTGTCTCCTTCCCTGATGGTATCTTCATCAGACAACCTCTGCTGTTTCCTATACGCTGAGCAAAAGGAAGAATGGGTAGGGACTCTCCTCCTGCCCCCAATGTCTGCTCACTGCACACAAAGGCGGCCTAGCTTTCACCCATGAGGCGCAGTCAGCCCAGAGGAGGAGGAACAGTTAAGGATATCTGTGTGCTGAGTCTTAGCAGTGAGAAGTGGTTGGAAGTTTGAGGTAACAGAAATAGTCTGCGAGGCTGTGTTCTGTGATCGTCTTTGTTGTAGAAGTTCATGTGGGCCAGAGTGTCAGTGGCCTAGTGTCCTCATGCCCATGTCCGGTGGGCTCTGTGCTTGGTCATATGGTTCCTCAATGAACAAAGGCCATTGGACTTTTGTCTCTTACTAACTTTCACCTCTGTTTCTAGTCCAGTGACAACCAGTTTCTCTTGGAGCTCGTTGGGGGCCCTCTGAAGACAAGAAACATGTCAGCCTGTGTGCAGGACGGCCGGATCTTTGCAGAAAATGAAACCTGGGTTGTGGACAGTTGCACCACATGTACCTGCAAGGTGAGGTCCAGAGTCACATCCTCCTGGAGGCAGACGTGTCCCAAGCAGGCCAGGACTGTCCAAATTGTGCACATGGCAAATCCTCATGGCTGGCAATGGTCTTCTCAGCAGCTGTGTGCAGAAGATGTTTACACACACATGGAAGGTTCAGCATGAGAGGGCCGTAGACATGAAAGCAATCATAAGTGTAACTTAAACTGGCCTCTTTGTTCTGTACACAAAGAAATCATAGCCCAGAGAGTGGAGTGGCTTGGCCAGCACTGCCGGGTAGAGAGAAGCTGTAGGAACGGGGCTACCCCAGCTTGTACTTAACCCTGGTCGGCTCTAGTGAGGCCTTGATGTTCAGCTGGGACACTGGGAAGCGCGATCATCGGCAGACTGTAGACACTGCCCCGTGTCTGTGTGTGACGGCTTCACCGTTCCACCTTCCCATGTGTGTGATGGCCTCAGACGTTGGGTGGTAGAGGAGACGCTCTGCCTGTCTCCCTCCTCCCCACCCAGAGCACTCAAAAGCCTCTCCTATCATCTCTCTGCTCCGTGGTGGAGGGGTGTCAGCACTCAGAGCCCCCTTAGGCCTGCTTAAACCTCATGCTTGAAGTAGGATCACAGAACACACCCAGCCATCCTACTGACCTTGTCCACCCAGTTCCTGAGCCAACGTCTATTGCTTTAAAGGGGGTTTTCTGAATATCTTTCTGTACTTGCAGAAATTTAAAACAGTTTGCCATCAAATCTCTTGCTTGCCGGCGACCTGTGCCAACCCGTCCTTTGTGGAGGGCGAGTGCTGCCCGACTTGCTCTCAGGGTAAGTCACCCTGGTGAGCACGTTGTGAGACCCAGTGATTTGATCTGCTTGTTTATCTGTTCAGGGGTTTGTGAAGAAGAAGGGAGGTTCAGGCTCCTAGAGACAGGCAGTGGAGAGGGACGGCGGGACACCTGTGGCCTCATGTCAGCCACTATCCAGTGGACAAGAAGCCATTGATGGCCCTAGGAGTTCAGTGGATGAAGCTGCCTGCCTTGGCCATCCTCAGATAAGCAGGGGAGCCCCTGTAATCCTGCAGGGACCATAGTCCTGACCCCAGGCCCAGAGTGAGGCCCCTGTGTGAGTAGTTGCTGTGAATCAGGAGCCACAGCTAGACCCAAGACTGAGTGAAGGCTGAGCACTCAGACGTACCATATAGAAAACAAACCCAAAGTCAGAGTTGGTTGCATTCAAGTAACAGAGACACCATCCAAATGTCAGAGCGTGGAAGTCTGGAGGAGCCAATTCTGTGCGGCTTCTCTGAGGCCCCTCAGGCTGTGGAGCAAGGGCTGGGGTGGCCCAGGAGTCCTGGTGACTCTGCTCAGCTCTAGGACACCACCTAAGCAACCCTTTTGGACTCAGTTCCCAGACCCTGCCAGAGTCTTGAAGATCTGTGGCTCCCTCTGTGCTGGATCTAGGCTCTGGGTGATTCTCAGGTGAAGCTTCCCCACATGTATGGGAGTCCCTTCCACTCAGGCCACCAGCCTTGAGCATTCCGGACACCTCTCCTCAGCCTTTACTCTGGCATCCCGTTCTGTGTGTGTCTAGAGTCTCAGCCACTCACTCAGCAGAACTGCCCGGTGCCCAGTGCAGAGCCAGCTTCCCCTCCTGATGCCTGTTCATTTTGCCAAGACGGAAAGAACACAAGGGCTTGGCATGAGAGCTTGGGTGCTGGGCTTGGCTGTGCTGGCTGCCCCAGGCTCACTGTCACCTCCTACATCTGTTCTTTAACTCCCTCCGTCTTCCAGTGGGGCCCCGACTGAGAGACTTGCTGTGTGCTAGGCCTGGTAGAGCACAGAGTGGGAGGACAGTGCCCTTCAGCAGAGGCCTTGACATTGGTGTACCAACCCCATGCGCCTGTGAAGAGTTTCTTCCAGAAAACTGCCTATTTATTGAATTTTCCTCAAATTAAATTATTTGGAAATGAATTAGGCAACCTGTTGGAGATATCGCTACCTCATGTGTGTCAGCAGAGGCTCGGTGGAATCACTGCTGCGTGATTTTGATAACTCCTTGGGTAGACATGATGCAGCTTGATCTTTTGGATGCAATATTCTTAACTCTGCAGACCAGCTTTCTGAAGACACACCTAGCTTATCTTCTCATAGCTAGAACTGTGATCCCGTCCCTCCTCCCTCTGATTTGGTCTCCCTTTGAAGGCACTCAAGTTCCTATCAAGGTGGTGGGCCTCTGTCTGTTCACAGGCCTTGCCCCACGACCATCATGAGCCCCTCCCCATTAAGGAGTCCCCAAAGCAGGCCCCACATGGAGGCTTCATAGTGCCTGACCTGCCCAGGGCGTGCGGAAAGGGAGGGCCTAACCTCGTGTGTGTGTGTGTGTGTGTGTGTGTGTGTGTGTGTGTGTGTGTGTGTGTTTTCGTGCGCCGCGCGACAGAGAGGGGCGGTGGTGCCTATCTGAGGAGGGTGAG